GGGCGGATCACCTGAGGTCGGGAGTTCAAGACCAGCCTGACCAACATGGTGAGACCCCGTCTTTAAAACAAACAAACAAACAAAAAAAACAAAAACAAAAACAAAAGAGAGGCCCTGGGGCTGCAGGAACCCAATGTCAGGGCCTTGACAAGCCTGGGGCTCTGGGCCCACTTAAAACTACAAAGGGAAAATTGCACCTTGTTCCTGTCATATAAACAACTATTTTACAGGGCTAGAACCAGGGGCCCACTTACTACAGGGTTACTCATTAATATGCTTCCAGGGATGTAAACAATGGGAGCTTTTATTACCCAGCAAAGGGCACTCACTCACTGGACTGGAGCAGCCGCCTAGCAGTGGAAGGACAGCCCCTCCCTTGGGGCTGCCCTAAGCCTCTCTGTCTAGGAGCCCCAAGGGACCTGTGGCCTCTGGAGGTGACAGCCAGCTTTTAATTGATTGTCACCTGGCAAATGATTATTGCTTTATAAGATCTTTAGCTGGGAGAGAAGAGGAAGGAATTTTTATGGGCAGTTCCTGGGTAACAAGGTGGGGAAGGGGCCGGGGCGGTGGCTCACGCCTGTAATCCCAGCACTCTGGGAAGCCGAGGCGGGTGGATCACTTGAGCACAGGAGTTTGTCAGTTCTCCATAGGAAAGCCTGGATCCTGAAAGTCTGAAGTCCTGCTTGCCTCTGCTAAAGTCTCCCACCCTCTTCCTGCACTCGTCATTGTCCCTGGCAGAGCTTCCCCTGACAAGCCCCTCACCCAACCCTGCCATCTTAACTGTTCTTATGATAATGTGAACACCTCTTACCCAACCTCATCACTGTAACTGAACTTACTCTGCAACACCCCCGCCCCCTAAAAAACTACCCAAACCTGGCTGGTCGGGTTAGAGTGTCAGGAACAGCCTAAAGATTAGACTGTAAAAAAAGAAAATAGGCCGGGCACGGTGGCTCAAGCCTGTAATCCCCGCCTAGGCGGGTGGATCACGAGGTCGAGAGATCGAGACCATCCTGGTCAACATGGTGAAACCCCGTCTCTACTAAAAATACAAAAAATTAGCTGGGCATGGTGGCTCGTGCCTGTAATCCCAGCTACTCAGGAGGCTGAGGCAGGAGAATTGCCTGAACCCGGGAGGTGGAGGTTGCAGTGAGCCGAGATCGCGCCATTGCACTCCAGCCTGGGTAACAAGAGCGAAACTCTGTCTCCAAAAAAAAAAAGAAAAGAAAAGAAAATAGAAGCCATGTTTCGAAGACCTGTATTACAGGTACTTCATCGGTTTGTAAGACATGCGTCCGAAACAGCTGCCAGTTTGGTTCTTGAAAGATCCCTGAATCGTGTGCAGTTACTTGGGCGAGTGGGTCAGGACCCTGTCTTGAGACAGACAGAAGGAAAAAATCCAGTCACAATATTTTCTCTAGCAACAAATGAGATGTAGCGTTCAGGGAAAAGTGAAGCTTATCAAATGGGCGATGTCAGTCAAAAGACAATGTGGCACAGAATATCAGTATTCCGGCCAGGCCTCAGAGATGTGGCATATCAGTATGTGCGAAAGGGGTCACGAATTTATGTGGAAGGGAAAATAGACTATGGTGAATACGTGGATAAAAATAATGTGAGGCGACAAGCAACAACAGTCATAGCTGATGATGTATTTCTGAGTGACCAGACAAAAGGGAGTAGAACGGATGACTCTTCCTTGGCCATCATTTGGTACAGTCTCGTTTCCAAATCATGTATAATCCTGACAGTTCCCAAGGATGAGAATTAAAATACTCTTTTACATTAAAAAACTACCCACACCTATAAAACCCACTCCTATCCCACTGCCCTTTGCTAATGCCCTTTTCGGCCTCAGCCCACCTGCACCCAGTTGAATAAACAGCCATGTTGCTCATACAAAGCCTGTTTGGAAGGTCTCTTCATTCAAAGCTCCCATGTTTCAACAAAACCCTGTCTCTATAAAAAACACAAAAATTAGCTGGGTGTAGTGGCACACACCTGTAGTCTCAGCTACCTGGGAGGCTGAGGGGGGAGGATCATCCGAGCCCTGGAGGTTGAGGGTGCAGTAAGCCAAGATCGTGCCACTGCACTGAAGCCTGGGCAAAAAAGTGAGACCCTGTCTACAAAAAAAAAAAAAAAAAAAAAAAAAAAAAAAAAAAAGAGAAAAAAAGAAAAAGAAAAAGAAAAAGGAAAAGCTCGGAGGAAGGAACAGAGCTTGCTGGAGACGCGGCCATCAAGGCATTGCTCAGCATTCTCCACCCGGGATCCCCAGAGCCTCGAGCAGTGCCTGGGATGTGGGGAGTGCTCTGTTCTAGTTTGTGAATGAATGAGCACAGTTAAGCAGGTAGTATCATCCTCATCTGACTCACAGGGGCCCCATCCCTCGCTGAAGCGTACATGCCTGCGTTAACAAAGCACCCCGCACTGAGCAGCAGTCATTACCTGTGAACTCGCACTCCGGCAGGTCTTGTTGGAGACGCTCCACGAGGCCTCGACTTGGTTTGCTCCACTTCGGACTGGAGGATCCGCTCGTGGTGGTGCCTGTGGCTGGCAGGGGGCCTCAGGGTCAGGTGGGAGCCTGGCCATTGTTCCGTGGGCCTGGGTTCCCCTCTGCATAGGCCCCTCTACAATCTAACGGGCTTCCCCACAGCATGGTGGCTGGGTCCCTAGCATGGTGCCCTGGGAAACCGGAGAAAGCTGCATCACTGGGTGTGATCCAGCCTCCACCATGGTCACAAGTGCCCACCCAGATTCAAGGAGTCCACTCAAGAAAAATTACATGACCGGACATGGTGGTTCACGCCTGTAATCCCAGCACTTTGAAAGGCCAAGGTGGGTGGATCACTTGAGGTCAGGAGTTCAAGACCAGCCTGGCCAACATGGTGAAACCCCGTTTCTATTAAAAGTACAAAAAAAAAAAAAAAATTAGCTGGGCGTGGTGGCACAGGCCTGTAATCCCAGCTTCTTGGAAAGCTGAGGCAGGAGAATCGCTTGGACCCAGGAGGTGGAGGTTGGAGTGAGCCGAGATCACACCACTACACTCCAGCCTGGGCTAAACAGCGAGACTCTATCTCAAAAAAAAAAAAAAAAAAAAAGTTACGCTTTCAAAGAATTAAACTTAGTTTTATTAGGATTCCCATTGAGCACTGCAACCCAGGAGAGTCTTCCAGAGAATTTCTGTTCCAATGCTCCAAAGCATTGTTTTGGGCCACAGCTTACAAACAGGTGGCGGGGGCTTTGCAGGTGCTCAGAGAATACCTTAGAGCCAAATCTGATCGTCGAAGTTTTCCTGCGAGAGTCCATCCGGTCATAGATTACAGCCTCTGGTCCTGTCAGGCATTAGCTTATGTACAGGAGGAGGCAAGAGCTAGGATCGTTGACCTTATCTTTTTAAAACATGTGGTGATTCAAGCAAGAGCCATGGGAACCTAGGCCACGCCTGTCTATTCCTCAGGAAAGAGTTACTTTAAAAAGAGGGCCAGGCTCCCGGGCTCACACCTGGCATCCCAGCACTGTGGGAGGCCCAGGCAGGTGGATCACTAGAGGTCAGGAACTCGAGACCAGCCTGGCCAACAAGGTGAAACCCCGTCTCTACTAAAAATACAAATATTAGCCAGGCATGGTGGCCGGCACCTGTAATCCCAGCTACCTGGGAGGATGAAGCAGGAGAATCACTTGAACCCAGGAGGTAGAGGTTGCAGTGAGCCAAGATCACGCCACTGTACTCCAGCCTGGAGGACAAAAGCGAGACTCTGTCTCACACACACACACAAAAAAAAAAAAAAAAAAGAGAGAGAGAAAAACAGGCTAACCCGGTGGTGGCTCATGCCAGTAATCCCAGTGCTTTGGGAGGCTATAACAGGAGGATTACTTGGGCCCAGGAGGAGTTCAAGGCCAGCCTCTAGACTCTGTCTCTACAAGAAACTTAAAAAATTAGGCCAGGTGCAGTGGCTCACACCTGTAATCCCAACACTTCAGGAGGTCAAGGCAGGAGGATTGCTTGAACCCAGGAGTTTGAGACCAGCCTGAGCAACATAGTGAGACCCCATCTCTACAAAAATAAATAAATAAATAAAATTAGCTGGGTTTGGTGGTGTCTGCCTGTAGTCCCAGCTATTTGGGAGGCTGAGGTGGGAGGACGGCTTGAGCCCGCAAGGTAGAGGCTGCAGTGGGCCATGATCACAGCACTGCATTCCCCGAATTAAGGAAGTAAGCTCTGCTGGTCGCCAGCCAGCGGACTTCCCGCCCCTCCCCGGGATTTAGGACAGATGGGCGGGGATTGACAACCCCACCACCTGCCACGCGGCAGCCCTTCCACTGTCCTGTCCCAGCTCAGACTGCTGCATCCCCTGCCCAGCAGCAACCCTCAAACAGCCACTGGGAGCAGGCTGCGGCTGGGGTGAGAGCACCCTCGGGGAATGCAGCTGACAGCCTGTGAAGGCTGTGGGACTTCAGGCCCCGCGTGGGCTGCCCCGAGGTCTCCCTCCTGTCCCTTGCCCCGTGGGGAGCTGATCAGGGAGGAGCTGGGTGCACATGGATAGGCTTTGGGAGAGGCCTGCACACCCCGAGCTCCACAGGGGCCCTGCTCAGAGCCTGAGAAAGGGTGGGGCTCCCCTTCAAGCTGGGACCTGGCCCCCAACACCCTGGGGATCCCAGTTCTGAGGGGTGGCCAGGGCTGAGGGGCCTGGACTGGTGGGCCCACCAGAACCAGGGACAGAACAGTCAACATGCTGTATCCTTCTTCCCAGACGGAGGACATGAATGGCAGACCCCAGAGGGCCCCCAGTCCTGCCGCCCCTTCCTGGCCCCAGCAGGGCCTCAGCCCCACATTCCATGGAGGCCTGCAGCTTGAAGCCGCCAGCTGGGGGCTGCCCTGCGAAGTGCTCGCTCCACAGGGAGGGTGGGTGAGGTGTGGGCACGCCCTCCAGGGGAGGCCTATAAGGGCGCGGCGGGGACGAGGCCCTGGAGGGGAGCAGGGCCTCACCAGCCACGTCCTCATGGCCCTGCTGATCTTGCTGCTGCTGGGCCTCCTGGGGCTCTGGGGGCTGCTCCAAGCCTGGGCCCGAGACCCCTCCCCAGCCCCACGGTGGCCCCCGGGGCCTCGCCCGCTGCCGCTCATTGGGAACCTGCATTTGCTGCGTCTGTCGCAACAGGACCGGTCCCTGATGGAGGTAGGTCAGAGAACCCGGCAGCTCTCACCACCTGGGCGGACCTGTGTTCTCACCCCTCCTCTGGGGCAGCAAAGCCCTGTTTCCACTGTCCACGCCCACGTGGTGCCAGGCCCAGCGGGGGATGCAGGAGGCCTGAGTGCCCACCCTGCCTTTGGGAAAGGAAAGCCGCCCTATCCCACAGGGAAGCAGACACCCTAGGAAGCAGCCCTGGAGGTGCTGCCCAGGGTCTGGGATCAGGAGCAGGAGTCTGGAGGGCTCCCTGGAGGAGGCGGTGACTGCTGAGAACCTGCAGGAGACCAGGCTGAGGGACAGCAGAGGGAAGGAGGGCAGGGACTCTGGAAATGGTCTCAGACAGGACGTGGACTGCACAAAGAGATGGCCCGGGCAGGTGGGAGCCTCCCAAGTGTGGCCCCTTCCTTCCTGGGCTGGAGGTGGGACCGGCCTTGGCCCCCATGTTGAGGGCAGGCTACCCTTCCCTACAGCCAGGAGCTGGCTGCCTCTGCCCTGCCCTGCCCCATAGAGGTGGCCGGCCCTGCTGCCTGACTGACAGACACCCTGCTAGCACCCCTCAAAGCAGTCCCCTGTGCTCAGCCTCTGAGGTCCTCAACAGGGACTGGCCATCCCTCCCCAGCCCTGCCCCCCCGGGGCTCCTGCCAGGTGACCTCCCCCAGACCTTCCTTGCCTTACCCTACTACCACCCAGCACGGGCCGGGCCTTCAGGGGCCCCAGGGGACCTGGTGGGTGGAGGCGGAGCCTCACTGGAGCTGCCTATGATCCACCAGGTGGCCTAGGCCTCACCTAGTACTGGGGCCCCAGAGGCCACCACCCACCTGGCTGTGCTGGGGGCTGAGCAGGCAGCCACAGGCCCAGGGTGGAGCCCCCTCTACCCTCAGGCGTTCAACAGCAAACACCTCCCACTTCTCAGCCCCCATTTCCTCATCTGTGAAATGGGAAGAGGATGGCTGGTGCCTCCTTGGGCAGGGATGCTTAGGACAGAGGGCACGGATGGGCACCCCGGCCTCCCGCATGCCCTTCTGGGCCTGGCACGGGGCACTCTGACCGGCACTGTCATCCCGTCCTCCCTCAGGCGGGCAGGATCAGTGGGACAGGACTCACAGTCACGCCCGGCCCGGTCTCTGGCTGCCCCCGACTGCAAGCTGGATGCTCCCGGCCGGGCTGCAGCCAAGGAGGAGTCAGGGGTGCTGGGGGCCGCGTGCTCAGGCCCTCACTCTGTGCAGACTCTGGCCTTTTAGAACGCGCCACTCCAGCAGACAGCTCCCCAGCCTGCTGCCTGGACTCAGGGCTCAAAGGAACCCTCCAGGAATTTTGGCTAAAAAGAGAAGACCACCGCAGCCATGCCACGCACCGGATGGCAAGGGGGCTCTGGGGGTTCCAGGCTGGATGCTGCCCTCCCCCCTGCACAGCCCGCTTTATGGCATCTGAGCGCCCCCTCCACCTGCCCCCGTTTCCCCCTCTGTCCCCACCCCTACCCAGTACAGGCCCAGCCCAAGGGGCTCCAAAGGGGGCCTTGTGGATGAGGGCTGCCTGGGTGACCCCTGCCATCCCTGCCAGCTCTCGGCACGCTACGGGCCGGTGTTCACCGTGCACCTGGGGCGCCAGAAGACGGTGGTACTGACGGGGTTTGAGGCAGTCAAGGTGGCGCTGATGGGCCCGGGGCAGGAGCTGGCCGACCGGCCTCCCATCGCCATCTTCCAGCTCATCCAGCAAGGTGGAGGTAGGTGTGCGGCCAGCTGGCACTACAGGGACCTGCTGGGTGTGGGGGCACTGGATCCCAGGAGGGGTGGGGCTCCAGAGGGGGAGAGGCTCTCCAAGGGGGCTGGGGAAGAGCAGGCAGGAGCCAGGCCTCCGAGCTGGTGCTGGAGAGGGCCAGGTGTCCACATGGCCGGTCAGGTGCTCAGGACCAGCAAGCAAGGATGTTTTCATGCCAAGTCAGGAGGGGCCGGGGGCCAACCCGGGGGGACAGGAGTGGGGATGGTGGTGAGGCCGCAGCCAGTCCCGCTGCTCACTTCCTGCCCGGTCACGTGGCGGGGCTGGCTGGGGTGAAGACATGGGTGCCGAATCTGCCCACAGGCATCTTCTTCTCGTCTGGGGCACACTGGAGGGCTGCCCGCCACTTCACTGTGCGTGCTCTGCACAGCCTGGGCGTGGGCCGGGAGCTGATGGCCGACAAGATTCTGCAGGAGCTGAAATGCCTCTCAGAGCAGCTGGATGGCTACGAAGGTGAGCTGGGGGGCCGGGGACGCCCCCGCCCAGGGCCTCGACGCACCTGAGGCTTGTCTCCTCCCGAAGGCCGGCCCTTCCCGCTGGCCCTGCTGGGCTGGGCTCCCTCCAACATCATCTTCACGCTCCTCTTTGGCTGCCGGTTCGACTACCGGGACCCCGTGTTCGTGTCCCTCCTGGGTCTCATCGATGAAGTCATGGTCCTCTTGGGGTCCCCTGGCCTGCAGGTGAGGGGCTGCCTCCTGTTCTCAGGGTGGGGTGGAACCTGGGGTGCTGGGTGTGCAGGGGCAGGACAGGGATCTCAGCACTATCCCTTTCAAGGAATCAGACTCAAGGGCCTGAATCAGGGCCCATCTGACATTGGCTGGTCGTGTGGCCTCAGATCAGCCCTTGTACTCTCCAGGAAATGGGGGATCCCGATCTCCCCACATGCCCTCATCAGTAACAGATGAAGCTGCTGAAGGGTGGGGGTGGAAGCAGGCATGGCTTACCCAGGATTGCTGGGGTCCATGTGCCCCTGGCTCTTGACGGTCCAGGCACCTTCCAGCCGACGTCCTTCCCAGTGCCACAGAACCACAAAAGTTGATTCTTCCGATGTTCAGAACTCACATGTGTCTCACTTTTCTTCAAAATGCAAAGTTTCCCTCTTTTTGGTCTTCACCATACTTGGTGTGCATTAACCGAAGCCTGCATGCACATCAAGGCTGGACCCAGAGGCCATGGGTCACGTCCTCCTGGCTTCCCAGTGGCAGGGCCGTGATGGCAGTGAGGGCAGCAGTGGGTTCACAAGGCAGAGAGCGGGGAGCGCAGCTTCCACCCATCCTTGCCAGGGTGAGACCACCATGCCTGCTGGTCGAGCCAGGCAGGCCCAGAGCCCGCCTGGAGGATGGAGGGTGCATGGCTCGGTGCGGTCTGGGGGGCAGCCCCAGGCAGCAGAGCATTCCCTGGCCTTCCCTGCCTGCGCCAGCTCTTTGACAAGAGGCGCCACATGCAACTCGCTGCTGGTGATCATGGATGCCCCAGGAAGGCAAGCAGCACGAGGCACGGTGGGGCGGCCACAGGCAGGCACGGAGCACGGGATGGTGCCAGGCTCACCTCTCGGACACAGCCGACTCTGAGCGCTGAGCTCTGCACTGGCTCCCATTCCATGACTCACAGGAGGTTCAGAGTTATTTCCACGGTGGCAGCCGCCTCCCTCCCTTTCCAGGGCAAACCCACCTGGCTGTCCCCTTCCAGGGCACGGATGGAGAATTTCCTGGGAGTCCCTGGTCTTCCCTCGAGTGCAAAGGGTCCCTGTTCTGTGGGTTTCTACCTCCAGCACCTCTGCCCAGAGTCCCTGGGTGTGAGCACAGCTGCTGAGGACTCTTACCCCCTGCCTCGGGGTATCTCCATTCCCCCTGCCTCCTGCCCAGTTCTTCAACATCTACCCCTGCCTTGGGGCCCTGCTCCAGCTGCACCGGCCCGTCCTACGCAAGATAGAGGAGGTCCAAGCCATTCTGAGGACCCTCCTGGAGGCACGGCGGCCCCATGTGCGCCGGGGGGACCCTGTGCGCAGCTATGTGGATGCCCTGATCCAGCAGGGACAGGTGCGCAGGGGGGTGATTTCCTCCCCAAAGTCTTGTGGGAGTCCTGTGGGCCCACCCAGGGAAGAAGGGCTGGGGAGGGGTCCATCCTGCTCCTGCACCAAGCTCCCCCACCTACTGGATGGGGGCCCCTCAGAGCCTCAGTCTCCTCATCTGTGAAATATCCATGGTGCCTGCCTTGGGGAAGGTTGAGCCCAGATCATAGCAGGCACCAGCTCCCAGTCCTTCCAGCCAGGCCTGCCCTCTGCCCCTTTCTTGAGCCCAGGGCTGGGCTGGGTCTGTGGGGTGAGTGACAGACCCCAGATCCTCCCCCTGAGTCCTGCCCCACGCCTCTGCAGGGGGATGACCCCGAGGGCCTGTTTGCTGAGCCCAATGCGGTGGCCTGCATCCTGGACATGGTCATGGCTGGGACGGAGACGACCTCCGCCACGCTGCAGTGGGCTGCACTTCTGATGGGCCGGCACCTGGATGTGCAGGGTGAGACCCTGGTGCCTGGCAGGACAGCTCCTTCTGCCCCCGGGGACCCCCCAGGGCTGAGGGATGGCGCTCCCACTGATCCGGCCCACCCCTTGCCCCAGGCCGGGTGCAGGAGGAGCTGGACCGTGTGCTGGGCCCTGGGCGGCCTCCCCGGCCGGAGGACCAGCAGGAGCTGCCCTACACCAGCGCCGTGCTCCACGAGGTCCAGCGCTTCATCACGCTCCTCCCGCACGTGCCCCGCTGCACTGCTGCTGACACGAAGCTGGGTGGCTTCCTGCTTCCCAAGGTGGGGCCAGGCCTCCCTCTCCCTTCCACCTCCTTTGGGGTAGGCCTCGGCAGGGGTTCAGGCGCACTGGGATGGCAGAGCCTCCAGTGGGTGCCTGATGGCCCAGGGCTCCCTGACCGGAGGCAGGAAAGGGTGTCCAGCCAGGAGCAGGAGGGAGGAAGCCCTCACCCCACAGCCCGGGATTCGGGGCTCTGACCAGCAGACTTGGCACCTCCCTGCATGTCCTGGGGCGGGGTCCCCTCCGTGTACCCTCTGTGTGTGTGTCCTGGGGGGATCCTCTCTATCCTCAGGGCCCCTGGCTGTGTGCCCTGGGGTCACTTGGCTTCCCTGGGTTTGGGTCCCCCACCTGCGAGGTGGGCTAACACCAGGTGTGGTGGGTGTGGCAGCCTGGAATGAAACTTCCCAATCTGGGTCACATCCCATTTTCCGTGGGGCCCCTCTTTCCCACTCTGCCCGGCTGCCCCCGCAGGGCACACCCGTGATTCCCCTGCTGACCTCAGTGCTCCTGGATGAGACACAGTGGCAGACCCCGGACCAGTTTAACCCGGGCCACTTCCTGGATGCGGACGGGCACTTTGTGAAGCAGGAGGCCTTCCTGCCGTTCTCTGCAGGTCTGCAGCCCTCACGGCTGGGGTAGGGCGGGACCTCCCGGGCTCCAGGGGTGGGACGTCCTCAGCTCCGCCCGCTGACTCTGGCACCCACCTCCTGCTTTCAGGTTTTGAAGGCAGCCAGTGGCTGCTCCTCCACTCCCCTGGGGAGGTCCCCACCCCTCCCCTCCAGGAGCAGGCCTGGTGCTAGCCCACTCTGTGCCTTGACTTCCTCTGCAGGCCGCCGTGTCTGTGTCGGGGAGCGCCTGGCCAGGACCGAGCTCTTCCTGCTGTTTGCTGGCCTCCTGCAGAGGTACCGCCTGCTGCCACCGCCGGGAGTCAGCCCGGCCTCCCTGGACACCACGCCTGCCCGGGCTTTTACCATGCGGCCGCAGGCCCAGGCCCTGTGTGTGGTGTCCAGGCCCTAAGGGTTCCCCCAGCCCCCAGGTTCTCCCACCCACTCCCCTCCCAGCCCCCAGCTAAGACTGCTCTGGGGGTGCCCTGAAGACTCCCAGCCCCACCCCCACAGGGGCAGCAGCAGCCTCCAGCTGCACCCAGGCCTCCCTCTACCCAACCTTGTGGAACCCCCACCCCTCTGGTCTACTGTGGCTCAGTCCCTGCCAGCCCCCAGGAGCGCCTCTGGGGCTCTGCCTGCTCTCCTACCCCCGAAGCTGTGCCCTCACCTACCCAGCTCCCCCCAGGGCTCCTCAGCTCCTCCCCAGCACCTGCAGCTGGGGCTGCAGGGAGACAGCGGTGGCCTCATCAGCCTGGAAACAGGCACAGATGTGTGTCCTCAGCATGTGAGCCCTGCACCCACCAGGTCCTGGGGCTCCTGCAGACCCCACTCTGGTCCTGCTCTTGGGCGCCTGCACCTGGAGGGAGTCGGCCTGCAGTGCCGGGATCTGAGCCAAGTCACTGGGGCCACCCTTGGTCCTCCAGGAGCGTGATGGGAGCAGGGAGGTGAAGCCCACATTCTCCTTCAGAGATGGGCACTGGGAGCTGGAGGCTCCTGGGTTTGCTCATTTCCTGGGGACCTGAGCAGACCTATCCACCCTGGGCTCAGTTTTCCCCTCCATGAAGTGAGTGATGGTGACCCTGGAACCAGAAGGCTTTGCTGGGAAGGCGTAGGGTGCTGAGGCATCGCCGACGGAGCACGGTCCATCAAGGGTCTGGCTGGGACCAGCAGCATCCCAGGAAGGATGGAGGTCACTGTGGAGGGAGGGCCGCAGGGGCAGCCCCTGACCTCAGGAGGCTCCCAGGCAGGGGCCACAGGAGGGACATGGCGGACAGAAATGTCCCAGGCAGGTCCTTCAGCACCCAAGCTCAGGGGACCCACCTGGCACCTCCACACCCTGGCCCTGGGGAAGCCACAGAGTCCCTTTAGTGGCAGCCGGGCCGGTCGTGGGACGGCCCCCACCCCGAAGGCAAGATCCACCCCTGCTCGGGGGCTTCGCCAACCCCAGCCTCTGTGGGATCTCATGTATCCGAAATTCAGACTGAATGAGGCCCTGTCTTATGTCTGGAAGCCCAGTGAACAGGCCTCTGTTCAGGCTGTGGGCCCCGGGATGCCCCAGCAGGCTGTGCCCAGGGGAGGGGTGTGGTCACCGTCTGGCTGGCAGGCGGCTCTGGGCCGGCCTCTGGATGCCCGGCCTGTGGGGAGCCCTGGGCCCGGCCACGCGGGCATCAAGGTTCCTGTTGCAAAGCTCGCCATCAGGACGGAGGGGCTGGCAGGGGGAGCGTGGAGCTTCCTGAAGGAGGGGACGCCTCAGCCCAATGAAGACGAGCGGCACTGGAGAGGCACAAATGAGAACGCCGACCTGCACAGTGTCACGTGTGCTGGTGGTCACACCACTGATCAGCAGTGTGATGAGACGCCCGGCATCTGAGACAACTCCGGCCTGGATCCCAGCGCTGTGCCCGGCACACGCAAGCTGCAGGCGGCCCCTCACGAAGAAAAGAGGATGAGCTGAGCGGGTTCCCACCTGCACCATGTGGAGTGGCGCCCCGAGGCCAGGTCGGGGGAGGTGGCCGGGACACGAACAGAGGCAGGACTCGTGCTCCTGGGTGGGGCCACAGGGTCCCTAAGCCATGGGAGAAACACAAGAAGGGGACGGAGGGAGTGGGGCCTCAGCTGCTTCTGTCTGCTCCTGTTTTTCTGGGGAAGAGCAGGGACCGTGTGCTGGCTTCACTCTTCCGGTGGGTCCCTGTTCATTGTGACCCCATCCTGATGAGCCCCTCCGGAGCCTCAGGAGGTTGCAGAACCATTCCAGGGCAGGGGCTGTGGAAGGCCGACCCAGCTGTTGCCGGGGCCAATGGAGGAGTCAATGGTGGAGGAGTCAGGGCCAATGGTGGAGGAGTCAGGCTCAGCCCTCCCCCGACTTCCGCAGGGGATGCTCGTGCCCCCCACCTTGCATCCTTGAGGGTGGGGGCCCAGGGGAGCCCAAGGCCCACATGGGGAGGGAACACTGACTCCTTCCCACCCCACTTTATGGAGGCCCAGCTGACATGAGGGACACAGGTGCAGGGTGACGAGTGACGGCTGAGCTTCACGCAAAGCATTAAGACAATAAACGTAACTTCAACCCAACCCGACCCGCTCCCCTGACTCACATGACCTCTTACTCCATCTCACCCAGGTAGAAACAACCCAGTAGGATCACAGGGCTCCTTCCATGGGGTACAGCCAGGGTCCCCCAAGTTCAAATGCCTCGTCCTCAAGGGTAAAAAGGCCTAACTTAGTGAAAACAGAGTAAGCAGGTGTCAGATCTCATTCAACTCCTGCCCAGGGGCGTGGGCAGGGGTATGGGGTGGGTGGGAGGGAAGGGGAGGCTGAGTGAGGCCCGAACCCGGGAGGTACCACCTTTTCTCGACCAGCCAGACCTGGGTGCTCCCGTTTCTCACAGCTGCACACAGGCTGGGGCCACAGGCACATCCTGGGGGCTTGCTGGAGAACGCTGGGGCAGGCCACTGTCTATGCCTCATTTGCAAGTATTTCTTTTTGGCTGGTATTTTTAAAAACTAATAAAATACACATAGAGAAAATTCACCATCGGCCATGTTTAAGCGCATAGTTCAGGGGCACAGGGACATTCGCCGCGCTGTGCTGTCACCAGGTCACCTCCAGAGCCTCGTCCCTGCTGGGTCTGTGGGTGTGAGGGCTCTGGGAGAGGTGAGTTTGTCCTCCTTTATCCACGAACCTGCCCTGGGGGTCCTTTTCAAGGGTCCCAGAGAACTCAGGTGGTGGGTAGCCAGAGGGCCCAGCTTCCTCATGCGTGGATTTTGGGAGACGCCTCTGTGGACATCCACCCCATGGTGCCCACATATTGTGGGAGGGGCGGACAGTATGGACCCCACAACTCATGACATGGCCGAGCCGCTCCCTTGATGCCTGTCCTCAGCAGCAGGGGAAACGCTGACCCCAGCCTCTGCAACCCCCGCCTCTGGGTCTCCAGGGGAAGACTCTCCTGAGGTGGGCGGGCTGCTCTCGGCCCCACATCTGCTTCTGGGTCTGAGGCTGGCCCTCAGCCATGTGGCATGTGCCTCCAATTACCCTCCTAAGTCAAGGCAAAACAAAACCATACAGTCCCTGAGCCACCTGCAAACCTCCCACAGCCAGCTCGGAGGGTGAGGCCGCAGCAGGGTGCTGGGCGGGCTGAGCATGGGAGGAGACGAAGCTCTACCCATGGAGATATAATTAAATACAACCCAAGGGAGCTGCCACACCACTGCCCACCCACACCCGCAGGGCATACACATGCAAGGGCTGAGGCCGTGTCCAGTGTGGCAGGGTCTTGGTTCAGCCGTGGCCAGATGTCCTGAAGCTTCTCCCATGGAGTGGGCAGCCCCTATCAGGAAACATTGCCCAGAAACCCAGAGGCTGGAAGCCCATCTCACTCCGGGACCTGGGCTGTCCCAGTGATTGCCTGAGTCCCTCCGAGCAGGGGTCTTCTTCCCACCTTGGATGGTGGGAGTGCTGGGTGGGCTCGCCGGGCTTCAGAGGTCAGGTGGGCTTGGAGAGCTCAGTCCTGCGCCCAGCACTCTCCGGGCGGCTCTCACGAATGCCCTGAGGCAGGCCCATCACTGGCCAAATTCCCACCCCTCCTGCCTGGATCCAGGCCCCTGTGAAATCTAAGCGAAGTCCTAGGGTGTCTGAAGTCAGGGAGAGTATTGGTAGTTTCTGCTGGGTAACAAGTGGGTGGGTGGCCCCTGGCTGTTGACTGCTGGGCCATGGGGGTGACAAGCTGAGGCTTGGAGGACCTGAAGGTCCTAACTTTGATGACTCTTCAAGGTCTGAGGCTGCGCTGGACTTTCTCACCTGTGAAACCCATGCACCCAGCAGCGGTGCGAGCAGTTCCCAGGTTCCAGTAGGTGGGAGTGGCCTGACACAGGCAGGGCAGGGGGAGCAGCTGGAGGGCGTAGTGGAGAGAGCGCCCGTTCCCTGGCAGCCACTGGAGGGCGCTTGGCGTACGCACCAGGCCAGGGCGTGACTGTGACTGGAGCAGGACGGATGGCAGGTGGTGCCACTGGGGGACAGGCAGGGACGGGCAGGGAGAGAGCCCAGCGGGGGCGGCTAGTGCTTGAGGGAGGGGAGTAGGGAGCAGACAGCGCTGGATCCTGCTGGAAGGTCAGCTTGTGGCTCTGGGTTGTGAATGCTGGCTACTGAGTCATCCAGAAACAGATGCTGCCAGGCCCAGTGGCTCACGGTGGAATCCCAGCACCATGGGAGGTCGAGGCGGGAGGATCGCTTCAGCCTAGGAGTTTGAGACCTGCCTGGGCAATGTAGCGAGGCCGTTTCTACAAAATATACAAAAATTAGCCAGGTGAAGTGGTAGCAACTGTGGTCCCAGCTATTCAGGAGGCTGAGGCAGGGGAATCGCTTGAGCCTGGGAGGCGGAGGTTGCAGTGAGCTGAGCTCATGCCACTGCACTCCAGCCCGAGTGACGACGCAGGACCTGTCTTTGGAAAGATGCCACTGTCTTGGGGGCTGGGAGGGAGGAAAGTGCTCTGAGAGGTGGTTCAGCGCCTGAACCTGCCTTTCTTGGCGGAGGTCAGCAGACAGCACCCAGTGTGAGCTGTTTCTCAGACATCAATCCTGCAAGAAACTGCCCAGAGGCTTCCTCCGAGGGCAGGGTAGGCTGTGCCAGGGCCCAGTTTGCAGAAGTCTCACAGTGTTGTGAGGGGTCTCCAACCTGCTCTGACGAGTATTATCCACACCCCCAATGTCAGGGAGGCCCCTTTGCTTGGGAAAGCCCCCGTCTCCATAGATCTCTGCTCACCCCCACAGGCAATGTGATTCTGACTTCCAAACACTGCTCTTTTTGATTAAAAAAATTTTTTTGCCGGGCGCGGTGGCTCAAGCCTGTAATCCCAGCACTTTGGGAGGCCGAGGCGGGTGGATCACGAGGTCGAGAGATCGAGACCATCCTGGTCAACGTGGTGAAACCCCGTCTCTACTAAAAATACAAAAAATTAGCTGGGCATGGTGGCGCGTGCCTGTAGTCCCAGCTACTCAGGAGGCTGAGGCAGGAGAATTGCCTGAACCCAGGAGGCGGAGGTTGCGGTGAGCCGAGATCGCGCCATTGCACTCCAGCCTGGGTAACAAGAGCAACACTCTGTCTCAAAAAAAAAAAAAAAAAAAAGAAAGAAAGAAAGAAAAAAAAATTTTTTTTAAACCACTGTTCACTCACTGCAGCCTCGACCTCCCAGTCTCAAGCCATCCTCCCACCTTGGCCTCTTGAGTAGCTGCGACTACAAGCACATGCCACAACGCCTGGATAATTTATTTTTTGTAGGGGGGTAGTTTTGCCATGTTGCCCAGGCTGGCCTCGAACTCCTGAGCTCAAGTCATCCTCCCGCCTCTGCCTCCCAACGTGCTGGGATTACAGGCGTGAGCCACAGCGCCTGGCAGCAGGTATCAGTGTGTAGTTGGTGGCTCTGACACCTGCACACACCTGTGTACCTACTGGAGGGGACATTCCTCCCTGAGCTCAGCCTGCACATGCTTTCTGTCACAGCTGATTGCTTATGGCCTCGGACGCATGCAAAGGGAACAGCACGCATGCCTGCACTGGGGTGTGGTCCCTCACTTGGCATGAGTCCCGAGCCACCCAGCTTGCTGTGGGTCAGCCGTTGTCCTCTCCCCCGTGAGGAGTGCTTGCCCAGGGACGGACATGAGTGTCGTCTCCAGGTGGTGGTGGGGCTTCCTCAGCAGGAGGCGTCGTGACTTGGAAGTCCAGCCGAGACAGGCACTCGGAGCCCCAGCACAGGTGGCCCCACTTGGTTGGGCCCCAGCGTTGCATGGGTGGCTGCCCTCGCTGACCTGCACGGGGTAGGGGGACCTCAAGGCCCTGCGTGTTTCTCTGAGCTGTGTCCCAGGCGACATCTCTGTGCCACCCTTCAGCACCTTTCTCCAGGGAGTCCTGAGAAGCATGGCACTTAATGATCCACAGAGGTGGGAACCCTTGACAGGAGAGCACTCCCCAGCTGGTATCAGGGGAGCATGTGTGTTGACGAAAGGGAGGCCCAGGTCTTCAAGACCTTTTCCCGTTAACTTTTGGTGAGGACTCAGCAGTCCCCACATTTCCCTTTTTGAATTGGCTGCTGGGAAGCTCAGAGCCATGGTTTAGGATCCATTGACTCTACCTTTTGGAGGCTGCTGCTCCTTCTCTGCACTTTGTGGGTCTCCCTCTGCTCTGTGTTGGTGTTTAAGACGCCTCTCAGGGTTGGGGTCAATAAGCACGCTGACTGCAGGGGTGACCATGGAACCTTCTGAGGGGTTCTCTGCAAGGCTGTGCTGCCAGGACCTGACCGCAGGCACTGCCTCACAGATCTGAAGGTTCATGCTGTGCAGCGTACCTTCCTGTTTGTGAGGTCACCTGACTGGCACCAGGACGCCTGGGATCCTCACCTGCCGCCGGCGCACACAGTGGGGCCTGTGCCGTGGGAGGTCAGAATCTTGGCCACCACAGTGGGTGGGATGGGCAGGATGCTAGCCAAGGAGGAGCAGATGGCCTCACCGCCTTCCCACAACTTGGTGGGTGCAGATGATACCTGGGGCACACGATCCTTAGGGTCTCCTCCAGCCTGGATAGCCACATGGAGATGGCCTGAGTGGTCAGCCCAACCTTCCCAGGGTCCCCCGGATGTGTGGACCTAGCTCCTGGGCTTGGGCCACATCTTAGCCTGGACCTGGGCGTCTTAAGGGAGCCAAAGGGGAAGTCACAGTAGATGTCTAAGGGTCACTGTGAGGCCACAGTCACCTCTGAGGTGCAGGCCCTGAGGGTCACGGCTGAGGCCCAGCCAGGCCAGCAAGGGCCTCAGAAAGCCCCAGGCCCTCCCCAGGATGACGGCCAGGAGCCTGTGCCTCCCTGCTCTTGGGGGGCTGAGGCCAAGCTCCCGCCTCCTGGCCTGCATGCAACTCTGTGGGTCGGTGGGAGCCAAGGCAGGTGGCCTCAGTCTCAGCAGCTCTGTCAGGGGTCAGGGCACCCAAGGGAGCACCCAGAGCCCGGGCCAGTATCCCAAGGCTGCTTTTCTGCTTCACCATCAGTCGAAGGAGCGCTGAGATGGCAGCACAAACCCCCCACCTGGGCCAGGCAGGAGGCGCCCCTTGGCAGCGGCACCTGGGTGTCACTCTGTGGAGGCCCAGGCTGGAGCCCTTGGCCCCAGACCTCCCTGAGGCCCATTCTGGAACACAACAGACTCAGCCTCCTGGTGGGGCACAGACCTCCTCGCCATGGCCACCTGGCCCTCCCCAGCAGCTGCCCAGTGCTCTGTGGTCACCACAGCCCTCTGGATGCCCCGCTGCACCTCACATCACCTGGGGGTGGGAACCACATGCTGCTGGGAATGGGAAGTGTGTCTCCTGATTCTGTGTGGCATAAGTGAGTTTCCTGGCAGGGTCAGTCACTGCCAGCGCTGGGAAAAGGCCAGCCTGATGCAAGCGGTCAAGCAGTGCCCACTGCCAGGAATGCCACACTGAGCGCCCCGAATGCCATCCTGAGGTGGGGGACACGAATCCCACAGTCCACAGGCAGGGGAGGCGCCGCACAAAGCAGGAGCCACAGCCCCTGGTGCGTTGGGTTTTATTTCAAGTGCAGCCAGAGACCATTTCTGCATAAGCACACGACCCGACTCCGCAAGCCCAGCAGTGGCCCCCCCCTCCCCAGGACTGGCAGCAAGGCTTTGTGGGGTCGAAGGAGAATGGACAGGCCACAGCCAGGCCCGTCGATGGACACAGGGGGGGACCAGGAAAGTGGTCCACGCAGGGGGACGGGGGAGCAGGCGGAAGGCGCACGTTTGCAGCCAGCGGGAGGAGCCGCATGGCCCAATCTCTGAAACATCCCTGGGAGAAAAGTAGACATTTCCCTCCAAAGAAGGTTCCCAGGGCTTGAGGGCCTCTCCAAGGTCAGGTGTCTCTGGGTGATTCCAGAGCGTCCATGCTCTGGGACAAAGGCACTGAACCCGTCCTCACTGTCACAACTGTCCCTGGCCAAGAAGGGTGTGGAGGAAGCGGGGGTCCTTGCAAGGCTGTGGTGCTGGGGAGGGACCCAGCCTAGAACCTGGACGCCCTTGTCCGGCCACTGCCCTGCTGGTGATCTCAGCCCCCATCCTGGAGGAGGTGGGCAGTGGCACCCTGTGTGGCCCGAGGCTGCCCTGCGCTGGGCTGTGGCCCCGCCTGGCGCTGAACCCACTAGGACAGCATTTGCAGCACCTGGCGGATGCGCTGGGCCCTCCCTGGCAGGAGGGGGTCGGGGTCACCCACACCCTCCTCGTCCAGCTCCCGCATCAGGGCTTCTGCCTTCTGCACCGTCAGCTCGCGGGCCTGGCCCCGCAACCCCTCCAGGTAGGCTAGCAGGGTGGAGAAGTGCTCATCGGGAACCTGGAAGAGGAAGGGATGGAGTTGGTCAGTGGCAGGGCGGGGCCCATGGGCAGCGGGAGACAAGACGCCGCAGCCTAGGCAAAGGACGTAGGCGCCTCATGCTTCCTCTGGCTCCCAGGGGGCCCTCCAGCCCCACGAGACCTCCCACTGCAGCCTGAGGGTGCAGGCGGTCTGGCCGCAGACCCTGCCCCGCCCCAGACACTGGAAGAAGAAACGCCTGTTAGAGGCAGACAGAACACTAGGTGAACCTGACCAAAACAGAAGCCACATGGGGAGAAGAACATTTCAAAAACATCGCAAAAATCCTCAGAAAAATGAGAAAAGACGACACACATCAAATGAGGGGAGGCCGAGGGAAAAAGCGCACTCGGGACAAACAGGCCTTGCCCGCTCCGGCACTTACAGTGCCCACCTTTCTGCTCTGCGTGGCAGTGGCCGGGTGGCATCTGGGGGCAGCTTGACCCTGGTCTGCTGGTGGCGGGGGCACCTCTGCGTGGGCTTGCCGACCATCTGCGAATCTGCAGACAGGCGCCTCAGGTCCCTGCTGCAGGGGCGCTCTCGTTACTGAGTTAGCAGAGTTCTAATTCCATCTGAGAGTTTTAGTTTTAGCTCTTAAATTTAAGCCTTTGATCCGTTTTAAGTTTTGTATGTGGTATGAAGCAGAGGTCATGTACATTAAGTATTAGTGTATTTGTAAACGTGTGGTTATAATAAAAGTGTAATAAAAATGCATAAGTAAAATGCACATTTGTGTTTGTAAATACCTACAGCTATGATGGTGTAAGATACTCCGGGTGTGTGTATGTGTATACACACAAAAATGGCTTTGCCTAGCCAAAGGTTATTTTTCTGTAGAAAAATTTTGTATTAAGTTTGCTTTTGGTAATAGTAATATACAAATAAAACCACCTAAACTTTTATTAAAAAAACGGAAACGTGGAAACCCCGTTGTCCCAGGCTCTGCTGGGAAGGGGTTTCCTGCACACGGAACGGGCTTGGCCTGCATGCTGGAATCAGCTGCGCAGGCATGTGGGCTTCCGGGCTCCCCAGGCTGTTCCAGTCACTTCTGCTTCCAGCCTTGTGCCCGCCCTGGTGGCGTGATTACTGGAGCTTTGCAATAGGGCTCACAATTGGGACGTGTATGTCCTCTGACTTTGAGGAGAGAGAATGGCTTGCGCCCAGGAGGTCGAAGCTGCAGTGAACTGTGATTGCGCCACTGCACTCTAGCCTGGGTGGGACCCTGCTAAAAAAAACCCCACAAAAAACCAACAATGACAAAATAATGAAAGCAAGTGGCTGCAGGCTATGCCTGGAATGTTCCAGGGCTACGAGTGGGGATGGTGGGCCCGCCCCTACCTTGAGAGTCTGCAAACACAGGCATAGGCAGGAGAAAACTGTCCCCTGCCCCCAGAGCGTACACACACAGCACGAAAAGCCTGGCATCTAGTAACATGGATGCCAGGAGAGCCGGCGCTGCCCATAGGACACATCTCAGTAGAACTGGGGGCTCCTCCAGCCCACCTCCCAGCAGCCGGGTTTAGTTCTGAATTCTGTCTTGGTTCATTTTGTGAAACCCCATCTCACATCCTGCCCCTGCAAAGGAGAGCTGCCCACACATACCTGTGTAGGCACACCTCACATGCACACAGGCAGGTGGGTATGCGGGCAGGCGGGCGCCGGCGCACACCGGTAGGTGGCCTCCGTGAGTTACTCTGTGTTGGTTTCTGCCCTGAAGGCCGGCGGTGGCACTCCTGGAGCAGGCAAAGCTGCTCATCTCTTAGAACAAGGGCACTGGGAGACCCGCCCTGCAGTGGGCCCTGAGGGGTAGACCTTTCATACAGTGGCTTCTACTGTCAGGGCCCCAGTGTGTACAGGCCTCAATCCCCAGGAGACGTGCCCTCTCCGCTGAACACAGACCTTGTCACTGTCATACATGTGGAGCAGGAGCCATGTCTGCCTCGTCTTCTGAAACCTCCAGTTCTCATGCTTTTGGGCCCATCTGGAGAAAGGAAGACAAACACCTCAGGTGCGGCCGGGCGCGGTGGCTCAAGCCTATAATCCCAGCACTTTGGGAGGCCGAGGCAGGTGGATCACGAGGTCAAGAGATCGAGACCATCCTGGTCAACATGATGAAACCCCGTCTCTACTAAAAACACAAAAATTAGCTGGGCATGGTGGCGCATGCCTGTTGTCCCAACTACTTGGGAGGCTGAGGCAGGAGAATTGCTTGAACCCAGGAGGCGGAGGTTGCGGTGAGCCGAGATTGCACCATTGCACTCCAGCCTGGGTAACAAGAGCGAAACTCTATCTCAAAAACAAAACAATACAAAACAAAACAAAAACATCTCAGGGGCTGAGCAAAATGCCCCCGGGCACCTGTGTGCCCCGACAGACCTGGGTTGTCTCATCTCAGGAGAGGGAGCCCCACCAGATGCTGAACACCAAGTCCACGTGTGGAGGAGGTTTTTGGCCCCTCCCCTGCCTGAGGCGAGGAGCCGCAACCCACCAAGCAAAACCTGCTGCTGCCTGTCCAGGAAACACGTTGACGCCACTCTCAGTCCGGCCACCACGGGGCTCATGGCTGCCCCCAAGTGTCCTGTAGGCTCCCCCACCCCACAGGCTACACTGATTTTACAGGGGAGGAAGGATGAAGTCAGTTTCTCTGGGAGGAAAGGGAGCGACTTAATTGATTACTCAAAATACGTAGACTGTAATGAATAATACCCCTTTCAGAGCCAGGTTCCTGCGTGTCCCAGGCCCTCACAAGGGGGCAGTGGGCCTGGGATGACCAGCTCCTGGGTGCCAAAGGGGCTGCTCCCTGGGGCCACAACCGCCCACCCCCCCAACATCTCGCTCCTGCACTGGGCCTGCGGACATTAGGCAGGGGGGACCGAACGAGGCCGGCATGGTGGATGAGACAGTTCAGGCAGGTTTTACTCCAGAGACCTCCTCTGAGACACGTGTTTCCAGGGCCAGGCACAGTGGCCATGCACAGATACCTCCATCCACATGCAGGCCCAGGTCTCAAGACGCAGGCTCAGCAGTGCGGGGAGGCTGCACCTGTAGTGAGTGCCACCCAGCCCACCTGTCCCTACTGTCCTGTGGGTGAGTGGAGTGAGTCCTGTGGGTGAGGGGAGTCCTGTGAGTGGAGTGAGTCCTGTGGGTGAGGGGAGTGAGTCCTGTGGGTGGGGGAGTCCTGTGGGTGAGGGGAGTCCTGTGGGTGGGGGAGTCCTGTGGGTGGGGGAGTCCTGTGGGTGAGGGGAGTCCTGTGGGTGGGGAGTCCTGTGGGTGAGGGGAGTCCTGTGGGTGAGGGGAGTCCTGTGGGTGGGGGAGTCCTGTGGGTGATGGGAGTCCTGTGGGTGGGGGAGTCCTGTGGGTGGGGGAGTCCTGTGGGTGAGGGGAGTCCTGTGGGTGGGGGAGTCCTGTGGGTGAGGGGAGTCCTGTGGGTGGGGGAGTCCTGTGGGTGAGGGGAGTCCTGTGGGTGGGGGAGTCCTGTGGGTGGGGGAGTCCTGTGGGTGGGGGAGTCCTGTGGGTGAGTGGAGTCCTGTGGGTGGGGGAGTCCTGTGGGTGAGTAGAGTCCTGTGGGTGGGGGAGTCCTGTGGGTGGGGAGTCCTGTGGGTGAGTGGAGTCCTGTGGGTGAGGGGAGTCCTGTGGGTGGGGAGTCCTGTGGGTGAGTGGAGTCCTGTGGGTGGGGGAGTCCTGTGGGTGAGTGGAGTCCTGTGGGTGAGGGGAGTCCCATGGATGGGGAGCCTGGCTGTGCACCTGCCATGTGACATGCCAGTCCCATGTGCACAGACACACAGCTCCTGCGTGATGAGAGGAGCCTCCAGGAAGGTTTGGTCTTCATTCCTTTCTTTTCAGACCGTCTCATGTGGTCCCTGCCCCGAAGCCCGATCCGGCCAGCACTGGCCCCTGTGAGGTGCACTTGGCCATATTAGCCAAGGCATCTGCCCGCTGCAGGGAGCAGCTGGCATCTCAGCTTTGCCACCTTGAGCTGCTGTGTTCCTGTTTCCTCTTTGGTAATCTGGAGTGGCAATCCCACTTCACGGGTGTTTCCAGAGACCACACACGGTGGGTCAGTCACCTCTGCCCTGCACATGGCTCTCCTGTGGGTCCCAAGGCCACTACACTGCTGCCCACGGCCCTGAACTGAGGGAACCTCTGTCTTGCTCAGCCCCCACCAGGCTGGCTTCAAGCTGAGTTCGTCTCCATCCTCACCACCGAAGATGAGCCGTCCCGTTCAGCCTCATCACTGGGGAGCGGACAAAGCGAGGGGATGGTGCGGTGCTCAGTGTCACCTGTGGCTCCCGGGGTGCCCGGTGAGGCCTCCTGAGTGATGGACACCTCTGCCCCCAACCCTGCGGACTGATCCCTACACAGCTGCAGACAGTTCACTGGATGCCTGACAGGATCCTTTTTCTCTCTGCCTAGGTGGGAGGATGACTTGGGGTTACTTCCCTTCACTGCTGCCCCTGAGTGGGGGTTCTGGGATGGGCTGGCCGTGGCATGGCCGATGGTCCCCAGACTAAGGACATTCCCCTGCAGGACTCCCCTGGCTCCTTCTGAAAAACCCTGAGTTCCCAAGGATACCGTGGGTCCCATATGTCCATGTGGGCTCTAATCTGGCAGCCAGATGTGGCTGGGCTTGTGGGTGCCCTTGGAGACCCCCAGGAAAGAGGAGGAGCGCTTGCCGGGGTGCCCATGTCTGTGGCTGGCACGGCAGCCCCCTGGTGTGTGGATCCCAGGCCCTGGAGGAAGCTCCCGCGGGAAGAGGCTGCTTTGTTTCTGAGGAGTAAGGGCCACCCGCTCCTCGCACATGCAGGACACAGTGCCTCCACACAGGGCTTGTGACTATGGGGTCACGAGTAGCACGAGGGGGCCACGGGAAGGTTCTGGAGGATGAGGCCCAGGACAGGAGCAGGGTGGGCACCCAGGCACCCATGACATTCCCATAGGGTCCTCAGAGGACATGTGGTCATGGGAGGGGAACCAGGGTGCCTCCAGGGTGAAGACCAGGGAGCGGCAGCCATGCTGGAGAGTGGCTGGTTCCCCTCTCCTGCCCACGTCCTCACAGGCCCCCTTGTGCTAAGAGTCCACGCTGAGAGCAGCCAAAGGTGCTGGCAGGTGTGGGGAGTAGGGAGGAAGGAGGCCCTAGGAAAGAAGGAGGCCACGGGGAGGAAGGAGTACAAACCCTGCCCACCCCTGCTCCCTGCTGGCCTCAGGCATCAGGGCAGGCCCAGAACAGCTATGCCTCTGGGAGCCAGGGAGGGCGCAGGCGGCACAGCTGCAGGGCCCAATTGCCCTCTACATCCCATGGGGCAGCCCACAGTCTGCTCCTGCAACTGGCATCTTTTGGGTCCGTGTGCCCACCTGCGCCTCTGTCCAACCCCCCCCATACCTGGGCTCTAGGTGATGTACCAATGGCTACCGGAGCCCCTTCTGTCTACAGCGACTGACCTGCAGTGGCTTGTGGCCCTGCCTGCCGAAGAGCAGGAGTGAGCGAGGGGGCAGCGGCCTCACACCGCAGCCAGCACTGTCCCCTGGGCCAAGCGCATTCTTGGAGCAGGAAAGTGCTCTTGGGGTAGCCCTGGGTGCCCAGCCCTCAGCCCCATGTTCCCCAGGGAGGGGGAAACTGAGGCTCCCAGAGAACTGATTTGGTGCAGAGACCCACGATGACCGAACTGGTTCCAGCCAGATCCACTCAACGTCATGGCTGAGCTCGCGTTCTGGGGCCCCAAGGCAGCTTTGGCCCCAAGGAGGAGTGCTCAGCCTCTCTATTTCTTGAGCCCAGCTCTCTGCCTGGTGCAGGGCGGCCAAGAGCTTCTCTCCTGGGGTAGAGGGCCGTCCTGGGGATGCACACAGAACACATACACACACACACGCACATCTGCATACACGTACCCGCATGCACCCACGTCTACACATACCCCACCACACACATGCACATGTCCACGTATGCACATGTGTGCATATAAGACATGTCCACACACAAGCATACACATGCACACACATGTTCACATGTGTGCACACATCAACACGTGTGCACAAATGGATGCACACATACATGACATACATACACATGCACACACATACACATGTGTACACATCCATGCAGGCCCTGCTGCTCACTGCTTGAGCTGTACAACCGCACGGGGGGGGTCATCTCTCTGAGGGGCTCCCACAGAGGTATGGTTGGAGCCTGTCTTCCCATGCAGGGCCAGCGTCCCCTCACAGGACACCTTGCCCCTCAGGGTGACTCCCTCACAGGGACCCAATGAACAGGGCCTAGTTGTCTCTGAGGACACCGGCCACATGGATGCTGTAACACCTCTTCTCCTAGGTGCCATCAGCACTCAGGGAGAGGGACAGGGACAGAAATGGACAGCAGCCTGTGCTGGTGAGCGCCAGGGAGGTGGTCACAGCCCGCACGGCTGCAGAGCCCACCCGAACCTCTGACCCCTGCAATCCTGCACCACCCACCCAGCAATGCTGCAGGCAGCCAGGGAGATGGCGCCCTGCGCCCGGCACCCCTTGGTCCCTGTCTCCTCTCTGGTGGCACTGCCACCTCCTGTTACTGTGAGTGAGGGGTGAGGGCCACCCCGAGTTCCCTCCTCCTCATTCCATGTCCAAGCAGCACCCAGGCCCACGGATCCTCCCTGTGGTGACCCACACCTGGACGAGGTTCACCATCAGAGCCATTTCTAAGAGCGCAGTTCCGGGCCACCCCTGCAGAGAGCTGCTGCCTGTGAAAGCTCCTGAAGGCTCTGAGCCATTCAGACAGAAAGGGCAGTGGCAGCTGCACAGGCCTGGCATGAACACTAATGCCCCACTTCACTAAAACCTTCCACACAGCGTCTGCAGGTGTCAAGACACACACCAGGGACAGAAGTGCGTGGGGCAGGGCCACGTACCCGCAGAGGTAGTCCAGGGCCAGCTCGGCCCCCGAGCGTCGGGCTGGTGGCTGCTGAGCCACGACGCCCGCTTCCCGCAGACGCTGCCGCTCCTTTTTCTTCCGTTCCTTCTTCAGTTTCCTTTCCAGGACGCGCTGTTCCTCTGGTGACAGCTCTGGCTCTGCATCCTGCACAGCCCTGAGCACAGCTCCTCCCTGAAAGTCAGAGAACAACATCAGGCTTTGGGGATGGACAGGGGTCTCCAGAGATGGGTGCGCTACCTGGAGCTTCTTCAGCCCACCCTTCCCAGGGCGGCGGCCAAAAGCTCTGTCTGCAAGCACCAAGCCTGGCCCCAGCTGACAACATCCCGCTGAGCCTGTGCTGCTACGGAGAGATGGACGGGTCACACGGGGATGGCCAGTCCTGCGGGCAGGCGCCAGGTGCCAGGGTTACCTGCCCACAGGCCCCTTCCCCACCCACATGCACCTACTGCAGACTCCCACCTCTCGAGGTTCTGTGAGGCCTGCCCCACCCCGCATGGCTTGGGAAGGTCTGGGCTGGGCCCCAGGGAGGGCTGAAGGTGTGCTGAGGCCTGCTATCACACAAGCCAGGTGCTGGCCCCGGCCATGACCCAAATCCTGATGACGGTGCCTGGGGCCTGCTGGGTTTTAGCAGGTTGCTGGCTGCCTGGCTTCACCTGGGCTGCAGGCTGGGGAAAGGGAGGACGGCCTGGACCCCAGCAGGAGGGAGAGGGCCCACTGTGACCGTGTTTCTCCAGCCACATCTTACCAGGAAAGCCCAGGCCTCCTTCCTGTCCACCTCTCCCCTAATTAACAAAAGAAGAGGACGACACAAAGCGTTAGAGTGCCAGGGGCAGCTAGGCCTTGAGGTGACCAGGAGGTGACCCCAGCCACTGTTCACATGCTTCACCTTTCCTGGAAAAAGCGAGAACATCAGTGTTGACTCTGAGCAAAGCCAGGAGCCCAGGGAAACGGTGCAGGGTGTGGGAATCAGAACCAGCCACTGCCCACCGGAAGCCCGGGCTTTCAGGAAGGGAGGCCGGGTACAGCGCCGACCTGTGCAGCCCACCCCAGGAAGAGCAAAGTAAGTCGAGGCAAAGGCCCCCCTACACACAGGTGTTTACGCAGCCCCACTACACACACACACACACACACACACAAACAAATGCAGACTCACAACACCCCTACCACAGCCCCACACTAACAGCTCCCACCCCTCACCCATGTCCCCACACCAATTCACATACACCCACATACACTCAGGGAGACACACACATAGCCACACCCCTAGAGCCTGCTGGGGGCTGACAGCAAGAAGCAGGGCCTGGGGGGTGAGGGGCACCCTCCTTGGCAGGTGTCCAGCATGGAGAGGCTTAAGAGTTGTGGTGAGAAGGCCTGGGCCACCTAGACACACAGGCAGGAGGCTCTGAGATCCACCAGGCCAGGCCCGAGGGGTCTGAGGAGCGAGGAGTTTTATGGCAAGGACAACGTGGATGCCCACAGGGGAACCCAGTGGCCGACCCGCTCCAGCCGGCTCCGCACCCACCTCCTAGGCTCACAGCTGCCAATAGGGGAGGCACAGCAGAACACCTGGCCCAAAAGGCAAAAACCCTTCTGGCGCCAGCCCCGCCTCTGTCCCCACCCTGTGGGCCACACAGGCGTCTGCTGACCACCCAGGCCAAAGTCCACGGCATTGTTGGGGCTGCAGAGGGGCTGTGGTGGTGGCTAGGGGTCTGTCAGCTCACATGGTGGGGTGCCTGGACAGGCCCTGAGCAGGTGGACAGGGCCCGGCAGCAGGGTCCCGGGATGGAGGCCAGGGTGCTGAGGGCAGGGCCAAGGCTGAGGGAGGCAGTAACAGGGGCACTGGCCTGGGGTGGATGGCGAGGGGGAACCCAGGCTGTCCCACACCGGGGGCCACATGGCGGACCTGCAGGTCCAGCTGTTTCTTGCAGGCTTCCAGAGTGCCAGGCTCAGGGCTGCCTCTTGTATCAGGCCTGGACGCTGCGGAAACAGCCTCCTTCACACCAACTCTTGCTTCTGGCCACCAGCACTCCTGACCCGCCAGGGGCCACAGGCCCGAAGGGAGCAGCTGCGGCCTGGGAGGTGGGAAGCTCAGGAGCCCCGCCCACTGTCCCAGGGTGTACCTACAGCTGGCCACATGCCTTTAACTTTCCCTAAGCAACTAATGAACCCAAGAGATGATCTCAGCTAAAAAATCCAAATTCCTGCTTTCTCTGCTGGGCCTCAAGAGAAGTCGCAGAGGCAGGTGGTGAGGAAGCTGTGCCCAGGCAGCCTCGGGCCTTGGGGATGCCTGGCTCCACTCTGTGCTGTTGGCCACCCCCCCGTGCTTGCTCTCCTGGCAGCCTCGACATTTGTAGCCTGGACCAGGCAATTCCCCTAGGCTGTGACCATGAGGTGAGTGGCCTTAGCTATCTTGGGACGACATACGTGGGCCCTGGGAGGATGTCCAGCTGGAGGGAGGCAGGATTGGGGCGGGGGGCAGCGTGGGAGGGAGGAGGGGCCACCAGGCTCAGGTGTGGCACTGTTGGGACCCGCTGCTTCCTCCGTTTGGCCTGGACCTGGCCCGGAGATCACAGGTGAGCAAAGCAGGATGGCTGTCACTAGCAGAAGAGCAAGGACAACTTTCTCCCACTGTCACCCATGTGCTGACCCTCCGAAGAACTCGGGTTAGCAAATGCTTTTAACAAACTTACCAGTATCACATATACCTCCCAAAGTTGCCCCAAGGGCTTGTAAATTGTCCAAGTATACACCAAAAGTTTTTTAAAAGAATGTAAGCATCAAATATGAGCCTGTGAGGGCCGCTTCTAGGGACCTGAGTCTCAGGCCTTGGACGCAAAGCCTGGCGTGGTGGCCAGAGGAGACGTGACTCCAGGCTCCTGCCGGCCCCAGGAGTCTAGGAAGAGCGGACCTTGGGCCACCTGGAGGGCCTCTAGGCCCAGTGTCCAGCTCACAGCCCTGCATGGTGGGGCCGCTCTCCTGGGAGAGGTGTGCTGGGTAGCTTTGAACCGACGCCGTCAGTGCAAGAACCTCTCTCCTAAAAGTACAGTTTTCTGACACACAGATGGGACAGGCCCCTGTGGAAGTAAGCATAGGCCAGTCACAGATGTGTGACATCTACAGCTCAGCATCTCTAGACCATCCCAGTGCAAGCAGAAAACTGTAGAAAGTGTAGTTACCCATCTCAATGCTAGAACAGTCTCTGGCATCTCAGAGCCGATGAAACACAGACTCTCATATGAAGTCAAGAAAAATTTAAATTGTAGTCACACATTCTCTCTTCTGCATTTTTGGTTAGCTGTCTTGAGGATTACACTTAAAAATGCATAAAACAATGCAATGTGCATGGAAAGCGTCACACAGGGCAGGCCCCCACGCAGGACACGCCCCACAAAGAACATGCACCCACACTGGACACCCACCCACATAGGACACGCACACATGTGGGACAGGCCCCTGTGTAGAACAGGCACCCACGTGGGACAGGCACCCACACAGGACAGGCCCCCACACAGGACATGCCCCACAAAGAACATGCACCCACACTGGACACCCACCCACACAGGACACGCACCCACGTGGGACAGGCCCCTGTGTAGAACAGGCACCCACGTGGGACAGGCACCCACACAGGACACGCCCCACAAAGAACATGCACCCACACTGGACACCCACCCACACAGGACACGCACCCACGTGGGACAGGTCCCTGTGTAGAATAGGCACCCACACAGGACAGGCCCCCATGCAGGACATGCCCCACAAAGAACATGCACCCACACTGGACACCCACCCACACAGGACATGCACCCACATGGGACAGGCCCCTGTGTAGGACAGGCACCCATGCGGGACAGGCACCCACACAGAACAAGCCCCCACGCAGGACATGCCCCACAAAGAACAGGCACCCACACTGGATACCCACCCACACAGGACATGCACCACGTGGGACAGGCCCCTGTGTAGGACAGTCACCCATGTGGGACAGGCACCCACACAGGACAGGCCCCCACACAGGACATGCCCCCATGCAGGACATGCCCCCACAAAGGACATACACCCACACAGGACAGGCACCTACAAAGAACAGGCACCCCAAAGGACACAACCCAACACAGGACACACGCCCATGCAGGCACCCACGCAGGACACACACCCACACAGATAAACTGCGACTCCAAGGGCCAGCATGGAGACATGGCCAAGGGACCCGTCACTTCATCGACACTGTATTTTACAATGTGAACACTCCACAGACCACGCTGAGGGATGCAGCACCTATGCAATCACACATCAAACCCTTACCAGCTTCTAGGGCAATGAAAATGTTCACTGCACTCAACAAACTGAGAACACACCACAAAGCCAAACCCTGAAGGTTGGGAGGGGCAAAGCAGATCAACGGCCCAGCAGCTTCCGGGGAAGAAATAATGCATGACAATTGTCTTCTTCCTTTAAGCCTACAACTCCTGGCAAGAGACACAGAGAAGAAATGACACTAATTTGATTTGAGAAGATTCCTGCAGACCCAACTGAGGCAGCAGAGTCCCCACAGCGCGTTCCTGCACACCCCACCCATCCAGCCCCTCTGCCTGACGTGGGTCCTGTGTGAGCCGTGCCCCCTAGCAGGGGGTTTTGCCACGACGTACTGGCTCTTCCTGGAGATGTCCAAGGTGGGGAACACTTGCTAGTCACACCCCAACCAAAAGAACTGGCAAAAATAAACGCCATGATCATCCCCAGGAGACCTGAGTGGCTTAGTGAATTTAAGCCAACAGGAAACTCGGAAGAAACATACAGGGGCTCCATAAAGCCGGCCTGGCACCGGCTCTGGCACCAGTTCCCTGGACTGGACACCAGTCTCCACGGTTAGAAATTTTCCTGACGACCATGAATATTACATACACAGAAATGAACCCCAAGAAGGGCGCCCCAGTCAACGGCCATGGCAGCGTTCTGGTTAATCTCACCCCATCCAGGCCTGAGCCCAGCTCTCGGATTCCGGCACCAGTTCCATCTACAGCCCCTTCCTCCCTGCGGGTCCTCCCTCCTCCCTGCCCAGCCTTGCTGAGCACAGGCGTGCAGGCTGTGCGGGGACAGCCCGGGGCTGGGGGAGCAGGCAGCCCGGGTCCAGCAGATTCTGTGTGGGGGCTGCACTGCACTGCTGGGGGGGCTCTGAGAACGGTCTGAAAGGACTGCAACCCCTGCCCAGTCTCTCCACCCTGGGAATGAGCCTCCCAGCTTCGACCTCACACCAGGCAGGTATGGCAGGAAGTGGCCTTGGTGGCTCCTCGGTCCCTGCTAAGTTGTAGGGGAGCTAGGGAGAGAGGAAAGAGAGGAGGGGTCAGAAAGAGGTGTGAGCTCCCTGTCCCCCCAGGCGTGAGGGCAGGTCTTTGTCAACCTGAGGCTAGGGATGAATGTGCAAGTCCCTGTCTCAGGACCAGGGCCACTGGGAGACCCTGCAGGGGCCAGGCTCATGCTTCAGCTGCCAGGGCCCTCAGGCATCCACGTTGCTTTAGATTCAGGGTTTAGAAAAAGGACTTCTATCCAGACCTTCTGCTTCCACCCAAGTCTAAGGGAGCAGGGGCTTCACCTAAGAAAGGAGGGTGGAGTGAGGAGACCCAGAGCTGACCCAGGAGATCAGGGAGGACCCAGGGCTGACCCAGAAGGCGGAGGAGAACCAGGGCTGACAGAGAGGGTGGGGGGCCCCAGGGCTGACCCGGGGGTAAGGGGGGGACCCAGGGCTGACTCAGAGGGTGGGGAAGACTGCAGCTACTATCTCTGTGGCCCTTAACGCCCAGCCCCCATGGAGACACCAAGGCAGGAGTGTGTCTGACACGTGGCCTGGGCTCCCTTGGTGGGCAGCTCCTTACCCACAGCGAGGCCAAAGGTCATCGAGTGCTGACTGCCACTCTCCTTCCTCCAGAGGCCTGGCCCCTCTGCGAACAATGCCCATGTGACACCGATGTCACCTGACCAGATGGAAATACTCCCGACGCCCCGCAGTGACCCTGGACCAGCGTCTGTTTGGCAGGACCATCTGGTGTCTGAAGTGTCACATGAGGGTACCAGATAAAACACTCCCACGCCTGTGTCACATCAGCACATGACGCGCCAGCACATGCCAGCACATGGCAGCGTCCACCCACACACCTCAGTCCTCTGCTGAGCATTTCATTGAGGGTGTGGGGTCTGCCAAGAGCCCGGACCACGCGGGCCTAGAGCACCTCAGGTTGTGGGCATTAAGCCACCGCCTCTGGCTCCAGGCTCAGGCTCCCTGGGAAGTGGGGGCCGTGTGTGAGGAGAGAGCAGGCGACAGAGAAAAGACCCATTGTCTCTCAGAGCTCCCTGCCCGAATCCCCTGATGTGCCCTGCTGTGCGGGTGAAGGGGTCACCCGGCCTGGACCCCGTCCAATAGACGTGCAGGGCGCTGTGTGCATGAGGCGGGCGCTGCTGTCCCGTGATGCCAGTGGGCGACAGTGCCAGGGCTCCAGTGCCGCTGTGTCGGGCCCTCGGGGAACATCCCTGGATCGCAGGGGAGGCGGGGAGGGCTCCGCACAGGGGGATGGAGGACAGGGAGACAGCCACACACCCTCCTGCACCACCTCCTCAGAAAATGAGCCATGGACTCAACGCTTACAGAGTTTCCCAGGCAGGGGAAGCTTTTCCAGTGTGATCTCAGGCAAAACTCCAACATGTGAACGGACCGCCTCGGGCAGCTGCTTGAGATAGGGGGCTTCTCCGCCCCCACCACCCCACTGCACACAGGGCCAGGCACTCTGAGGTCCAGCGTCTGGGACTCAAAGTCGCACGTGCCTTGGTGGGATGGCGCCTCGCCTTTCCTGTGCTGCAGTAGGAATACCCTTGTTTGTTCAGTGCATTCTATTTGGTAAAATGCGGTAGAAAGAAAATAACTCCAGCAGGAAACAGAAGACCCAGGAGAACTTGCCCAAATTTAAATAAAGATCCAAAGTCCTCATGGGGCTCAGATGTTCCCACATCCCAGGTAGAAATCCCCACCTACACGTGCACGCGCGCACACACACGCACGAACCGGTGACCAAGGGGGAGGCTTGCTCTCCTGTCAAAGCCAGGGAGTCTTGGAGAGCAGGAGTCTGAGGTAGACACACTGGGATGCATGCCCTTCTATGGGGGGAGGCTCGGTTTTGGGGTACAAACGTGAGTCTTGGGGATCAGGAGCCTAAGAGGCATTCAGGGCAGCTCCCCCAGCCTGGGTCACACCGTTTGATCCTGTAGGGCGTGGCAGAAAGCACAAGTCCCTTGGCAACACCCAGGTGACAGCTGATGACATCCCTCTAGGAACGGCACCTGGGCCACACTGGATGGGCCGTGTCTTGGTGCATTCAAGGCCCCCTGGACAGGGCAACCAATCCTCAGTCCACTGCGGTCTGCTTGTAGCCAGCAGGAGCCTGCAGCACCGTCTGTGAGCCATGGTGGTGACTGCGGCTCAGGAGGAAGGACTGGAACCCTGGACACGTGCACGTGGGGACTGTGTCACCCCAACCCTGTCCCTCATTCCATGACGACAGACGCAGGCCTGCGTGGAAGCATGTCCCTGCCCATGAGTGACTCCTCGTCCCAAGATGGCAGATTCAGGCCTGCATGGAAGCACGTCCCCGCCCATAAGTGACTCCCCATCCCAAGACGATGGACACAGGCCTGTGGGGAAGCAGGGCTCTGCTCACAAGTGCCCCCTGGACTACGAGCGCCCACTCGACCATGAGCTTTTCTTTCCCCTGCATTGCTGCAGACGTCGCCCAGGATTTCCAAGGTCAGGAGCCTGGTCCCAGGTCTCACAGCCCTGTAGGGATTCTGCTCCAGTTTAAAGAAAAACCTTAATCAGATTTATTACCCCAATTACTAGAATTCCACAGCATAACTCACAGTAGCAAATTGCTTTTTCTGAGAAACAAGAGTTTTTAAAATTAAGCCTTTTATTTTGAGGTGATTGCAGGCGACAGCCGTCATGAGGGAACACGGGGTGCCCACGTGCCCTCTGCCGCCTCCTCCCAGGACAACCCTCAGAGAGCAGCCAGGACCACATTCGGATCCAGACTCTGAAA